TTTAGGGGTTTCAACCCCTTTTTTCTCGAAAACGTGACGTGATGGGAAGTTTTGGACCCCAGATTCGTGTTCAGCACGAAAAATCCGTTCGGAAACACCAGGTCCCGTCTTATTCGCAAAACCCTTGTAGACCAGTGTTATGCATACTTTGCATAACTTCGCACATCCATTTGTACCAGTGCAATAAAAATGTAACTTAAGAAAATGTGAAGCAAAATCTAAGCTCAACAGATCGCCAAGTTTTTAAAAGTTCTGCTAATTTCTGGGTCATGGAATACATACCAAATACATACGAAATTACAGTTTGAAATTTATGCAAAGTTGTGCGAAGTTATGCAAAGTATGCATAAACAGACCACGAGAATTGTAAACCTAAGCCCCACTTTTTCTTGATTTCAAGCCTCGATTCTTGCACTAGATTACCACCAGATAGTTAATAGCCTTAAGTTCACTCTACCTATTCCGTTTCCGTCTGTTCTAGAACAGTGCAATACCAAATTTTGAGTAAATAAATTAAAGGTACGATCTAGCGGTTGCGGCCTATATATAATATAATAATCCCAATGGTTTTATCCTCCTTTTCCGCCTATCCGCACGAGGGGCACCGAAACCATTATTTTAATTTTTTTCAATTTTGTGCTACGAATGGAGAACTTGTAGTCACGAACAACGGATGCTTTATTGCAAGAGGCTTTTTCATGGAAGCTAGAGATGTGTCATAGGCCATGTTCCAGAGAATAGCCGGTAGTCGCGACACGACAGCACATTAGCTAGGCCGTATATTTTCAGTTTGTTCAATGTGAGTCCGCTAGGATTATGGCGGGATATATGTATAAACTCGTCAGTGTACTAGAGTCCAGTTTCACTTGGTCAGTCGAGCCAAGACTGGACCTCTACCTTTTTTAAAAACAAACCGATGGTCTTTCGAGAGTTGTTGCAGATGGTTTTTTACACAAAGAGCCATCGTTGAATGGTATTTATTTTCGCTTACGTTTTAAGGCACCGTAAATAACGTAAACTTATCCCGGACGCCAAAAGGAGGCGCACGTCTTAGTCAGTCAAGACCAAAACACACACAAATTAAAAGCTTTTTCTGATCGTAGCTGCTCTAAATAAATGCTTCTGGGCTGATATCTACCTATAGTCCTGCCGTTTAAATTCAAAAAGCAATGGAGACATTAGTAGTAGGCACAGAAGATGGATTGCGCATAAGATTTGTGGACATGTGCCTTCCGAAGTTTAACTTCTCACAAAACTTCAAAGTCTTTTTCCCCGACATCTGGTATACTGACAGCTCAAAGACTGACCACGACGTCGGAGCAGAACTCTATGGCATACAACCCAGAGTGCTCCTTTTCACCAGCATGGGGCAAGGTAACTCTGTCTTTCATGCCGAGGTTCATGCCATTGAGCTTTGTCTGAGGTAGTAAATATGTAGAAAGTGGGGCAACCAAAAAACACATCTACATACACTCGGATAGCAGAGCGGCGCTCCTTGCTCTTAAAGCGCACGAGGTCACCTCAAAGCTGGTGTGGGACTGTCACTAACTTTTAGTACTGATCGCATCCAAGAACCCGGTATACCTCTATTTATTTGTATGCAGATGAATATGTACGCAAAAGCAACAAAATAAACTATTCGCAGATTACCACGAAAGGCTGTTAGTTTTAACCAATGCGTTTTGTGGCATTCCTCGTTATTTTTGTCGCCGGATGCAAAAATATAATGGGCATTGTTTTTATTTTATTACGACTGTATGTTTACTAAGTATTTCTTATGCATTGATTTATATATACCTACATTAGAGTGGTCCAAAAATATACAGTAAAATTAACTTTTTGGAATTTTCTCGCTGCAACCCCCAGAACTGAAGACGTCAAAACTACGGAGGCCTGTATTTTACAACGCTTTTATCAACTTGCAATGTTGTGTTCCAGAAACTTTCAATGTTGTGTGTCCGACACCATAAAGCAAAGCTTTGAAAAGCTCCTATAAAAAAGCATAGTGAATAGGGCGAGGTAGATGACATCTAGATGTCGCCCTATGTACTACGTTTGCTACACCGGAAATAGACGACACGCCATTCTTTAAATAAAATAAATTGGTGCTCGTTTGTATGTACATACATATGTAAATGCATGTGTGTGCACCTTTCTATTAATATCGTTGAATTATTTTAATATCTATTGCAAACTTTTATTCAGACAGGACTAAAAAGTAGAAAATAAATAATATAAAAAAAACTTTTGTATGTATGTGGGTATATGAATAACGACCGCTTAAAATCGATTTCAAAGTTCTACTTTCGCTGTAGAAATTTTAGGTCTACGTTATGTAGTTTGACTATTGTCAATTAAATCAAATGCTTTGTATTGCATGCGCTCCACGTTTTTCATTTTCAATTTCATAGATTGTGTATAATGACTTTTGCTAAAATTTCAAAATCAAAAGTTATCAAAACAAATTCTATGGGACTGAGAAGTATTATTTTCTACTTTTTAGTCCATTTATAAAAGCGTTGTATATTAAAAAGTTTTTTTTTTGTATTATTTATTTTATTTTGAAATCGTTTAAAATATAGCCATGAAGTTTTCCATACATTCTAAATGGGGAAAAATAGTTTCGCAGAGTTGCTATAAAATCGTTAAAAAGAATTGATTTTTTTTTATTGAATAACAATATTTTCCTTCGTAAATCTTAAAAAAAAAGTAAAATTATGCTGCACATTAGACCGTAATTCGATTTATGAGCCAAAAAAAGTTCAACTAGTACTATTCAATTTTGAACATTCACTATGAGAGTATTTCAGATTTATAAATTTTTTTCGGCACCACAGCTAATTCAGCTTTTTCTATAACTTTTTTATTTGATGTCCGATTTCTAAAACTGATACATCGTTTTAAGCAATATTTGCGTTTAGAAAAATAATCTCCATGTCAAATTATAACTCTTCGCCGACAAAAAAAAAAGACGAACTCATTTTCATCAAACAGAAGCTTATTTACTACTAGTAATTGTGTAAGAGCTCACTTGTAAGCAAATATTTGATTAAAGTACATCTTTTCGGGATTTAACTTGACTATATCGTGCTCGGCTATTAAGCTTGGCAAATATATAGTTGAGGCGTTCTTCATCATCTTGATTACGGGGTGCCGTTTTCTATAAAAATTATACCTTTCTAGATTGATATGCCAAGATAATATTTTCTGGGGGAAGCATATCGACTTTTTTAATGCCTTTATAGTCATTTATAGAAATCGGACATCAAATAAAGATTTTTTTAAAAAAATCACATTTAGCAGAAATAAAAAATTTTACACTCCGGAAATACTCTCACTGTGAGTGTTCAAAATCGCTTGGAGCGGAATTAACTTTTTTTGTGATACATTAGACTAATGTCTATTTAACAAAAAAATTTTCCTATCGATGTTCAGCAAACAAAGCTTTCTTGAAACGGACTTATAAGAATTAAAAAAGCTAATGATCATCACAGGTTCTATTTAGAGATTTATTTATGTTTGCATATATAATGTAGCGCCGCCTGTGGATATATTTCTTGCACCGATAAGTATATCGGATACATATGTATTCCGAATCTATACTTAAATGCGATTTATAAAAAATACCTCAATCACAGCACGACCCTGCGAGCATATCGCACACCGTCTTCAAAATGGACCTGATAATCCTATGGGCAATGGAGACTTTACCTTAGATTTTTTAACAAATTATAACAAAAATTTGCTCCAGCTTTCGCTGAAAGTTAAATAAAAGCTCTGTGTACATTTTTAGCGCATAATTTCAAAAACACCAAATTTCGAATTGTGCCTCTCTTCAAGACGGTGTGCGATATGTACTTACAAATATGACTGGACGTTCGAAAGACCAATATTCAATGAAAATTGCTTAAGCATTTACTTACTTCCTTTTCTTATGTCTACATAACTAACATACAAATTTCGCATTTCATTTTTAGTGTCCGATGGCTACTACTTGCCACTTGCGACTAGCACTAGTCCATCCAATGGTGCGTCGGTAAGTAGCAGCAGTGTCACGAATGGTGGTGCGGTTGGGGCGCTAAATAGCGGCAATCCGGCAGCATACTCAACGACACCCTACTTCACAACACCTTCCCCGCCACGCGCCAACCCCGGTCTCACGCCACATCATTCCCTGCACGCACACCAACAACACTTACACCACCATCAGCATTCCACGCTGGCCAATAGCCAGGCGAGCGCTGGCGGCGGTGTGCTGCATCAACCGAGCGTGATCCAGCCAACAACGTCCAATGTCAACTATGATCTCTCCTACATGCTGGAGCTTGGCGGTTTTCCACAGCGAAAAGTGAAAAAACCGCGAAAGCCCAAAATCGAAATGGGTGTTAAGAGACGCAGTCGCGAAGGCTCCACAACATACCTGTGGGAATTCCTACTGAAATTACTGCAGGATCGCGAATACTGTCCGCGTTTCATCAAGTGGACGAATCGTGAGAAGGGTGTATTTAAGCTGGTAGACTCCAAGGCGGTGTCGCGACTATGGGGTATGCACAAGAACAAACCGGATATGAATTACGAGACAATGGGACGTGCATTGCGATATTACTACCAGAGAGGCATACTGGCCAAAGTGGATGGTCAACGGCTGGTCTACCAATTTGTGGACGTGCCAAAGGACATTGTGGAAATCGATTGCAATGGAGTGTAAATGTGCGCGTATATGTGCGACGTCAGGCTGGCACAACCAATAGGGAATTCAACACCGTTCTATGGCCTGTACATTCCACTGAGGTGAGTTTGCGATTGCAGCCACTAATTATAATGGGATTCGTAGCTAATCAGAATTATTAAATTTTCAGCACCAATGCATCACCTACAACTACAAGTAAATTAAGCGGATTTCTTGGAATGTACAAAGCAACGCAAATGCTCGAAATCTCAGTAAAAATTTCGGGGTATATAAATATATATACATATGTATGTACATTTACACATGTATGTTTGTGAGTATGAATATACGCGGTGAGCAGCAGTTTTATACGAAGTAGAATGCATACTGTAAAGAATTTGTATTTATTAGCTCTTTTTAATGTTAATACTAGTTGAGGAGAAACAATTGTGTGTAAGTAAGGCTCGCTAAAATCAAATTGTATATTTTAGATACACAATAATATAGTACTACATATATAGTATATTAAATAAATAAATAAAAAAAATAGTTATATTTATGTTTAAGAGAAAAGAATATGTTGAAAATACAGTGTTGTAATATTTTAAAATTGTTATTAATTATTAGTAAAATTAATGAAATGACCAGAGGGTCGTTTGTATGTATGTAAGTGTAAACCTTTATATAAATTGTATGTATACATAATATGTATGTCTAGCTAAAGCATATAAATACTATTAATTTGTTTTTGTTGCTTATTTTATAGTAAACTCTAAAAAATATATAAATACACATTAATATACTATAATATTATGTTATGTAAGTCATGAATGTTGAAATTTATTAACTCTAGTTTTGCTGTCCGCAAATTAGTAATTATATCTAAATATGTACATATATACCTAACCTAAGTACAATTTCTTGATTTATTTTTTCTGTTTGCTTTTTTTTTTTGTTTTTTTTTTGTAAATTTTGAATAGAAAGCAAAAACAACAACAACAAAGTCCACTGTTCATAGATAAGAAGAATAATTTCACGCCCCAAACCAGCTCAAGCAAGAGCCGTGTGGCCAAAATATGCATAGATATGACAGTGTACCCTTTACCGTATCGCTACCAATATGAAAGAGAGGTTTTTTTTGCGACTTGACGGCCTTGCTGTGTCCTAATAATATTGCACAACATGGCAGATCATTTTAAGAGATAATTTTGAGAAATATAGATCTCTTCAATATCGTAAAAAAGTTCAAAACATACTGACACTTTTAATTTTACGGTAACTACGAGTACATAAATAGGTGTATTTGAATTTCAGTCGGGTAGGAATTGAGATATGTAATTGATTTTGATTTGATGAAGGAAGTAATTTATGTGGGTCAACAGGATACTAAATTAATATGTGGTGGCTTGAATGTAAATAGGGAAAAGACATATTAGAAATTGTTGGCTATTTTTATTTATTTAAAATACTTTAATAATCTTTTTTTTTCAAACCAACGAATTTTAACAAATATTGATCAAAATTTTAGACTTTTTAATCAGAAATTTTTAGATTTTTTTTAGTATGCAGTTTTGCAGGCCATTAAATTTTAGTATCACAAAGTGCAAGTTTGAAGTAGCTTGGATTAACCTTTGATTTTTTTCAATGTTTGTTCGCACATTTTCTTCCATACGAAGTATGTTCAACTATTTTATTTATATGGAAAAAAGGAGCAACACCTTCCACAAATAAAATTGCCAAAAGTCAATGGTTAGTCCTAACAGCTTAAATTTAGCATTTTTTTTTTACTAAAACTTCATGGGCTACAAAACTGCGTGCTAAGTATGTTTCTAAGGGCTGTTCCTCAAGGGGACTTTAAAATTTATCTGTCCATTAAACACAAAATGTTTTTTCTAAAAAATGATTTTAAAGGGTAGATACATTTAAAAACCTACTTGAGAAAACGGCACTAGGAAATCTAGTTAAAAAGCTCAAGACTTTGAAGAAACTTTGTCTTATTTCGCCAATTTTTTTACAAAGCTTAAAATTGTGACTTACATGTTTTTTACTAGTTAACGAGCTACACTTTCATAAAAAAATAATAAAAATTAAATAATCGTAAGGGAAATAGCCAAAGGATGCTAAAATGTATCTTCTCTATTCATATTTTCGCCACTGTAAAAAACTCATAAAACTGTTCATAAAAAACCTGTTTTTTTTCAACGAAATTTTACACCTTGAAATCGGGTTACTAATAAAATAAAGTTAGGAAACAAATTCGGGTTTGGCTTTTTTTAAAGCCCGACAAGGATAAAAGTTTTCATGACTAGATGGGTTTGTTACAAACTTTTTCCACGACCCAGCCTAACGTAACCTTCTCTGCTGCGTTCTGAATGCCAGCAGGTATTCACTTAAACTGGAAATCTTGAAAATCTCGAAAGTCTACACATATGTTGTATGTAGAGTCAACTACCAGAGCAAGGTTTTGTATGAGTTTTACAGTTTTTCAAGTTTAGGGAAATACTCGAAAAATATGACGGCAAATTCATATAAACGTGTATATGCCTCGCAACAGCGTAAAACTCGTAAACTTACTTAATTTTGTATGAAAACGCGGTTTATTTACAAGCTGTACACGCTTACGAGGCATTTTCCGCCAAACCTGTCGTCTAATCGGGCTCAGCTAGAACAAAGCCTGGCCAGTAAGAGACGAGGGAACGTTTGAATTTTTAAGCATGACATTAGTACAAATTATACATGCATACATGTGTATATGAAATATTAATGAAGATATATACATACATGTGTGTGTGTGTTCAAATATAAGACGAGGGCGTACACAAGCTTCAGCAAAAATTTAAGGTAAAAATTATTACTTGATTTGGGCCCGACGCACTTTTCTTGGTAAAATAATGTAATGGTAATGAAACCGTTATTCAAAAGCGTTAAACATAAATAAGGTATGATAGGTGAAAAGATTAATGTGATAAACCGTGATATTGGATTTTAAATTAAACTAAACAGAAGGCAATAATTGGAACTGGAAGAAATTTACGTTAGCTTGACTATGTGTGTAGAGAGGAAAGTGTACTTGAGTAGTAAATTATACAAAAAAAAAAAAAAAACATTAGCCTTTTATGTTTAAAAACGGTAAAAACTATCTGGTAAGGCTGGGCGTTGCTATATGTAATTACATGCAACGATTTTTTGAATAAATTGAACTTGCTATAGTTGTTGTTGTTGTTTTTGAACTTCTAATGCTGGCGAATTACCTTTATTATATTCCCTTATTCAACATCTTCTCGAAGTTTTCATTATTTTGAGTCAAAATTTGCATAATATTGTACTCAAGTATTTTGTATTTGCCGCAAAAGTACCGTCAAATGTCACTGCCGCATGCAAAAATAGCAGTAAATTTAATCTTTAAAAGTAACACATTTTTTTACACAAAACTTCCAAACTAGTGCAGGACCAAGTCCTGTGGCCACTGCCCGAATGTGCAATTTACATATATTTTTTTATTAAAGTAAAATGATTAAAAAATTCAACTTAATAATGTTAGTATTGTTTAAGTTCTAAAATGCAACAGTAAAATCAAGAAACCTATATGTATACATGCTCATTAACCAAAAGTGTTTTTTTTTGTTTCTTTCTGAAATTGTCATAAAAATTGTATGAAACTTGTCCTGGATTTTTCATAACTTTTTTATTTTTCAAATTTATACTATTTTTGTTTTAGCATGTGTGCATACAAATAAGTTGAATACATATATAGTTTTTTATTGTGACAACTTTTTCTTATTTAAAAATAAAATTATTATTTTAATTAATTTGCGTTTTATTTGAATTTATTTAAAGCACTACACATCAATGGTATATCCCGTTGAATATGAAGTACTTCTCTTGAGTGAAATATAGCATAATTAACTACACACACTTTCATATATGAAAACAGAAATTAGTAAAATGGAAGAGATGGAATGAATGTAGTTAAAACAAATTAGCAAAAAATAAAATGAAAATAAAAACTAAGAACTCGGCGGACAGTTTTCATAATGTCTTGAACAATGAAATGCGAATGAGCGAAAATAATTGTCCAATTGTTCACACACATGGCACTAATTAGATTTTTCAATCTTCACATAGTACATTACATAACAGGCAACCCGGTAGTTAGAGCGGTAAGTGAAATTAAGTTTGTCGTCATGGAAATCAATAAGAAAATACCTCCCGATTTACGCTACGATCAATACATATGTACAAGTTTTTCAATAAATAACATAATACATACATATTTAAAATTCATACAAGAGATAGAAAATATATATATGTATATATATATATATATATATATATATACAAACATTAAGAGATTTTAACTAAGTATTTTAGAAATATAGTTGATAAATTGATAGATTTCCAATATAAAGATCACAAATATATAAAGATATTGTACATATATATATACTTATATATATATGTATGTATAGTAATGCATATGTTATTAAATGAATACGTACTTATAGTAAATAAAAATCCCATATAATAGAAAATAAGTACATAAATGGGGAAACCTCAGTTTTGAGGTTTCAAAGTTATTAAAGTTTGCTTTCATTTAGAATTGTGAATTAAAAAGCAAAAAGCTCAGCATCTAAGCATACACACATTCGGACATTACCAGAGAGAGTTATTATTATAGGATGCAGTACCCACTTTTACATTGTTCATAAATACATATACGCATATTTATATTAGTTATTCGCAACACATCTGCGCAACCTGCCCTTTTGTTCAACTGATTAAGTTAAGTGACTTTTTGACCAGTTTTGGCTACTTTTCTTTTGTTTATTTAATGTTAGATAATATTTTTTTTATAAAAGTCTAGCACATTATACAACCAGCACCACATAAATTCACATTTCCAGCTTCGTACAAAAATTACGACAATTCAACAAACTTTCCAATTGCTCCCAAAAATTTAAAACTTTGTATTCCGATTTTTTTTTTAATGTAGATATGCAGTTTGCCCATTAAATTTTATTTGGCTAAAATGGTATATGTATTTTTATTTTTTTGCTGACGGTGTTATGCATTTTCTTGATAATTTCTTTTGTATGGAAGAAAAAGTATTGAAATCGAACGCACGTCCATGGCGTATGACTAACATTCCCATTCCATCTGAATAACTCATACGTCATGTACGCACATTCTATGTTAACTTTTCCGTGATAAATGTTAGATCCAATGGGAATTCGCCATTTTGAATTTTTAAAATCCGACAACAGATTTTTATTTCAGGGACCCCAAGAAGTATCCTTTCATTTCATTTGTTAGGTTTTGTAAATTTTATTAATGATATAATTTTTCACCTTTGTATTGCCCCAATTTTTGGATATACATAGCTCTGTTCCGGTTGACATGCAACGTGCCATATATACGCTACGTAATTATCGTAAACAAAACAAACAATTTTTTTAAAAATCATCCCTTAAAAAAAAACAATTGAATAGATTGGTTTGAAAATAAAGTGACCGTCTTCGAAATATCGATTCTCGAGAAAAAAAATAACGTT